AGAGAGAGAGAGAGAGAGAGAGAGAGAGAGAGAGAGAGAGAGAGAGAGAGAGAGAGAGAGAGAGAGAGAGAGAGAGAGAGAGAGAGAGAGTTTCAGACTATGTGGCAGGAGAGGGAGTGAGTGTCTCTGTCATGAATTCCTCCTAGAGAGACATGAGCAGAAAACTCTGCCCGTCCAACAAGAAGAGGGAGAGAGGAAAGGATCACCTCAGGCACACACACAGCCTAAAGAGGGAGGGAGGGAAACTGGGGAGGAGGATGGAAAGCAGGGATTGTAGCCTTTTTTTGTAGGGGAGAGGGTAGGAGGTGAGGCAAGCGGGAGGGCAGGGGGATGGAAAGAGGGGATTGGAGGGGAGAGGGGATGAGGGAGGCAGGTGGGAGGGAATGGGGTCGGAGAATGAAGGGGAGGAGAATTACGCACAGACACCCGACTCAGTGAAACCACGATCGAATCAAAAGCAAACGAAGAAGGTAGCTTAATGTATACTTACTGAACGGCCGACCAGGACCAGACATTAGTGTCTCACGATATCCTGTCCCATCTATCCGCTTCTCTGGACGTTGTGGCTGGAGTTTCGCCAGGTCAATATCAGCACCTTCCTTACCCGCTCTCCTCGCCAGCTCGGCACGAAGCGCTTTGGCCTCGGCTTCCATAGCTGCAATCTGAACATGTTCAAGCAATGCTTTCCTCAAAACTTGGCAGTCTTATCACAGCAAAACAGGGGTAGCTCATCAGACATAGCATTTGCAGTGTTTGCCACACACACACACGAGTCGGTGAAAGTCCGACGAAAAAAACAGTCAGGCACAGGCACAGCCATGCTTTTCTTTTTGTGGAGTCGTGCATAGCGAACTAGCGAACATGACAACTCTCTCTCTCTCTCTCTCTCTCTCTCTCTCTCTCTCTCTCTCTCTCTCTCTCTCTCTCTCTCTCTCTTTCTCTCTCTCTCTCTCTCAAACACACACACACACACACATCCTTCCCACCGGCTAAATGTTTGCCCAGCAAGCCGTCGTGGCCTCGACATGCCATGTCTAAATAGCTGTGAACATCAGCCTGCTTTCCTGCTGACATGTCAGCAACATGCTATGTGTCGTCAATGTTTCCAGGAAGCTGTCATAGAATTCAAAGTATGTGTCTCTATTGTGTGGACTATCCCCAATGCCATCATCCGTTGCATCCTCTCCTAGCATGTCCCGCATGCACCGTTGGGCACTTGCCAGACGCTGAGGTGGGTAACAGACTACCATACGAACCACCTACAGAGTGGTGTACTGAAAGGATATCTCCACCGGGACGAGCTGTCGCGGATCAAAGTCTGAAACAGCTAAGCATACTTGCCTTGGATCAATCCCCGTTGTCGTCTGCCCATAGAGAGGGAATAAATACTACGGAAATTTGTGAAGCCTACGGCTTGGAAGGATACTTCACTTCACCACTCACGAGGAAGACTACGGCTTTGAAGATTGGCCGAGACAAGGAGAAGAGTAGCCGGTCACCACCAGAGACCGTGAAGTCCACAATTACCACCAGAGGAAAGGCGAAACTGCACCAAGATACACCGAAGGCTGCTCTCCGATCGACACCAAGGAAGGAGCCCGAGCATAAGTCTGATTGACTATCACCGCCCCCTATCACGGACCTGTGGCAGACTCTTAAGCCTTGCGTGGGGAAACGTGAAGTCCTTAGGGGGCAGGGCACTAGAGGAGAACAGATGGCTTTGTTGGAGAGACACATCACAACGACTACAATACTACTGGGACTTGCTGGTGAGATGAAGTGGCAACAGCCTTATCTCGATAAGATGGACGTGACCGACGATATGCTGGATCTGAAGACAGGGGTTACGTACGTGATTACCAGCCCGCCGACGAAGAGAATGTACGTGGGATGTACTGCGCGACCCATCCTCCAGCAGTGGAAGCGACACATCATGGTTGCTACGCTAAAGACGCTGGGTAAAGCACCACAACCCTACAGATGAATGAGGAGAATGGGAGTTCATAACTTCGTTATTGTTCCGATAAGGCACACAGAGGAGGCGGATGATTTCACTTTCGAACAACACCTGATCAAGGAATTGTCCCTGAGTTTGAACATGATGGGTATGGGTGGGCAAGCAACAAGGAAGTCACGGCGGCACAAGGGTAGAAGAGAGCGGAAGAAGCGAGGAGGAAGGAAAAAGGGTAGGACGGTCGTTAGTCTTGGTGTTGACAATCACACGTGGACCTCTCTGGTAAACTGGCTAGACAAGATGTTTGAGAAGCAAGAACGGCAGTTGGAGATTACATTCAATGCGGGCCAAGTGTGGGCTGATGGATGGAAGCGGATTGCGGCCAAGTATGGGTCCACTGTGATCAAAACTGGAGGCTGTGTCATGCTGCTCAAGCAAATGAAACACGCATGCCAGTCTGGTATGAGGTTCTGATAGCCAAAGTAGTGCAAATGAAGATGACGACTGGAAGGCACCCTTGGACACTGCAACGGCTACTCGAGCATGGCGATGTCGCTTGTACATTTCTCTACGAGTAAGTTGGTGGGGCTGTACCGTACCGCCAGATTGTTTGCTAAGAAGGAGACCAGGAATAGGCTGGAAGTGAAGCTAGACCGAGCACTACGACGTAAGACGGGAATTGGTATTAGGAGGAAAGTCACGGTCAAGTACCCGTACTGTTTGGCGGTCCGGAAAGCAGAAGTGAGGAAGGTGGTTGAAGGGGTCACAAAAGCTATAGTGGAAATCAATGTGGTCGCTACGTTCGTCAAGAGGAAGGCACGCATTGTGACTATGAGAAACCGGACGGTAGGCGAGATCATCCACACGCATAGAAGTTTCGCACACACACTGCCGATGCCCTGTAGTTGTGCGAAGTTCTCGCTTGCTAGGCACGAAGGCTTGTAGTTGTGCGAAGTTCTCGCTTGCTAGGCACGAAGGCCATGTGCTGGATAGGCTAGTTGATATCAAGGATGTTCCGGTGTTTGTACAGAACTCGAAGAACGTTACTAAAAAGCGGAACTAGTCTTGCGCATACAAAATGCTGTGGCACACTTGAAGCATAACACACACATTATAATGGTTTCCGAGTTGTGATGTGTCTCTCCAACAAAGCCATTTATTCTCCTCCAGCGCCCTGCCCCCTAAGGACTTCACGTTTCCCCATGCAAGACTTAAGAGTCTGCCACAGGTCCATGATAGGGGGCGGTGATCGTCAATCAGACTTATGCTCGGGCTCCTTCCTTGGTGTCGATCGGAGAGTGGCCTTCGGTGTATCTTGGTGCAGTTTTGCCTTTCCTCTGGTGGTAATCGTGGACTTAACGGTCTCTGGTGGTGGCCGGCTACTCTTCTATTGCCCTGGCCTATGAAGACCCGGCCAGGATAGGACAACTTCGATGCACAAGAGCACTCCACTGCCTCATAACAAGGTACGATTGCCAGTTGAACATTCACCTGCCTTCGACTTACCAGCTGAAGGGAGACGCTTTGCGCACGGGCATGGAGATGGGAGAACAAGATGTGGCATGGCAGTGCGATATCAAGGAGATGTTATCATCGATACCGCATACTGCAGTCAGAGGTGCAATGTTTGAACTGATACGAGCGTTTGAGAACCAGGATAGGCAGCAAGTGAAGGTAGCCGGGAGAGGGAAATTGGCAGTTTTGTCCAAGACTAACCATGGAGAAGACGGCTATATCAAGGTTGACATGGAGACCATTCATGGAATGGTGGACTACGACTTGACACATGCGTTTATGCGATGCGGAGCAACGATCAGAAGACAGGTGGTAGGTATCCCTATGGGAAAGATTATTGAGTCCGATACTGGCTATGATAACGTGTGCCATGTCTGAGACGAAGTTGCTACAGTCTCTTGGCTCAGATAGAAGACTGGTCAGAGGTAGGAGAATGGTGGACGATGTGTCCATCATGGTGAGCTGTAGCAGGGAGGAAGGAGCATGGGAGAAAGCGCAACATATTTTAGACAAATTTGAGACCTCGTATGATCCGCGTCTCAAATTGTTATGCACGGATGATGATAGTAACACCCACCTGGCAGTTCATCGGGGGTTGAAGGTGCGTTATGGGGGATCCGGTCCAAGTACATTTTGTACAAGACACAAAGAATACTAGTTCCATAAGACTAGAATGAGTACTCAGGTATCAGTCGATGCAAGCTTTCACGAGTTACTCCGAGAAGAGGACAAAGAAAGCGGTCCTTTCTGCTAACCTAAAGAGGTTATGGACCTCATCCACGTCACCGACTCTTACAGTTAGCTCCATCGCATATGCACTACTTGAAAACAATCTCCGTGGATATCCCTCAGAGGTCTCTCTCGGGGCCTTGGCCAATTTGGCCAAGGTAACGGGAGAGACCATCCTGATCACACTCGGACTGTGCTGGCTTTCTTGCCAGAGACATCTGCGAAGCCTCGATCGGAGGAACTGCTTGAGAAACAGTTGCGGACTGACGACCTGGGATATCAGGCCGTGGCCCAGAAAGACCGCAGGCTGTAACTCCCCAACGTCTACCGGTCTGAGGAACAAGCACAGCCTTTAGGGCTTAGGAGGTTTTGAGGATCGTCGGACCAAGTACCCGTAAGAGTCACGGTTTACTTTATTTTATTTTCCTTTGTCTGTGTGCACCTTTTTGTTTTGTTTTCTGGTTTTGGTGTGACCCCTGTTCCTATTTGGACTGTATTTAGAACTTTTTACCCGCTTTTGAATGGCTAGACGGAATGGCCACACATGGGGGTTGGAGAACTCTTACAAATTTTCAGAGAGGGATACTTCCAGAGATCTCCGTATGTGCACGGGGTTTTTCAGTTGCCGGAATCAGAACTTCAAATTTTTCTTTTCTTTTCTTTTCTTTTCTTTTTTAGTTGCAGTGAGCCATAGGCAAGAGTTCACGGATAAAAGGCAAGGCTACGGGCCTCTCTTTTCGACAGAAGCGTTCTACGAACGCACCTTCCTGATGATGCCATGCAGATGGATGAAACCAGTTGGAAATAAGCTGTGGCTATGGAAGGCGAGGGAAACTACGCCATATTTGAAGTGAAAAGTGTTCTACGAACGCACCTTCCTGATGATTCCATGCGGATGGATGAACCCGGTTGGAGGACCTGCATTGTCGAATTTTCTGGGAAAGAAGCTGGCTATGGAACGTGAGGGAAACTATGCCATATTTGAAGTGATTTTGTCTCATTTGTACTGCGATAGTTGGGCTTTGCTGCTGCAAATTTCATTTTGAACTTAACGAATATTGCTCATGACGAGCGTGTTTCGAAGGAAGGGTGTGTTCATTGTCTAAGTGTGTATGTGCATGGTTTGTTTCCGCTACTGTGTCCTTCCGGACAGGCTCTTGCCGCAGTCTGCCACACCACACTATGCAGATACTACGTCGATAGTACTGAATTATTGCGTCTCAGATAGCTTTTCTTTCTTTCTTCTTTTTTTTCGAAAGGAGGCTCCGATCTATTCGTGGGGAGCAGCACGTGCTGGGAACCGGGCCCAGCGTCCCCCACATAGGAACAAATATAGAACAAATTGAGGTACAAATTGAGATGTCGGGCCCATTACCTGGCTTCAGCTAAGCATCACCTACATGATCATGAACAACTACTGAATTTCAGATCAAGATTTTTTAGTCGCGGATTCTATAGATTGACTATGAAGATACCGAACACCACCTGGCACCTGTAGAAACACGACCACGACACCCAGATGGTGTCCGGTTGACCATCCAAATCTGCTACTGAATTATTGTGTCTCAGATATCATTAACGTTATGTACATAGTCTTTAGATACTATGCAGATACTATGTCGATATTACTGAACGAATGCGTCTCGGATAGCCTTAATGTTATGTACATAGTCTTTATAGGTACATGAGAGTTTTAGCATGTCTACGTATGATACAATATGTACATATTGCCTCAGTCATTGTCCTATTTGCAAGTACATAAGCATTTCCATCTCATTCAGAGTTTTAAACATATTACACACACTACATAGTACATAGTACAGACATTGTCTGAGTAGTGCTGATGCTATTCACTGTAGTATTCACGAATTACATGCTACTTACATAGCGTTTACACTGTTTATCTATAGACATAACGCACGATTCTCTGCGTACATACCATAGAAGTACTTCATTGTGTTACGATCCTGGTCAATTTCGAAGTGCAAAATCACAAGAAAGTACAATGCTGTCCAATTGCAAAAAGAAATGAACGAACTTGAGAGGAGAGAGGGGGAAAGAAGAAGAAGAAGAAGAAGAAAGAAAGAAAGAAGAAGAAGAAAGAAAGAAGAAGAAGAAAGAAAGAAAATTCAGCAGATTTTGCTAGACTGCCACCGCTGTGTGAGTACGCCCTCAGCAAGGCATTCATTCCAGCGGCAAAACTCAGAAATCAGCTGTGTTCTCAGTCCGTGTTTGGGCAGGGCCTTACAATTTTACTGTTCATTGAGCGAGGAGACACAAACAGGATGAGAGCATACCTTCGCAGCCAACTCACTTTCCAAAGAATCTGGATCTCCTGAGGCCGAGCTCTCCTCATCCTGCACACACACACACACACAGATAGATAGATAGATAGATAGATAGAGAGAGAGAGAGAGAGAGAGAGAGAGAGAGAGAGAGAGAGAGAGAGAGAGANGAGAGAGAGAGAGGGAGAGAGAGAGAGAGATGAATTTCATTCATTCAAGCACAGCTGCAACTTCCTGCAGCAACCAAAAAAAGGAATGCACAAACATTCACGAAGTTCGAGGCCACCCTTGATAAAGTCCAGGGCCAACGGAAAAAAAAAAAAAAAAAAAAAAAAAAAAACGAGGCCATGCTTTTCGATTTGTCACAAACGCATTGGACTGCCAGTGGATGCATCCCTCCTTTTTTTGCCTTAAAAAAATCCCAAAAAAAAACAAAAAACACAGAACACATACAGTAGCCTCGACGAATCCGCCACAGAAAAACAAATCAAGGGTAAAGGGATTGTGACCTGCAATTTCTATGCCTGTCAAATCCATCACAACTGAAGTGCATTCCATTCACCGGATTGCAGCTGGAGTAATCGAACTTGGGTCTCTATTTCAACAGTTCATGGGTGTACGAATTGAGGGGGGGTATGGGTGTACGAATTGAGGGGGGGTATGGGTGTACGAATTGAGGGGTATGGGTGTACGAATTGAGGGGTATGGGTGTACGAATTGAGGGGGGGTATGGGTGTACGAATTGAGGGGGGGTATGGGTGTACGAATTGAGGGGTATGGGTGTACGAATTGAGGGGTAGGCCCTTTCGGTCATCTAACTTGTTTAGTCAAGCTCCGACGTCGGAGGCCTTGCAGGGTATATTGCTGCTGTGCATGCACTCCGACGACAAAAAAAAAAAAAAAAAAAAAAGACAGTACCGAGAGGACTCGTTCGTGCTGGAGTGAAAGGCGTGTTCGAAAGCAAGCTGCCCATTGCTTGTCACTCTTTTTTTTTTTTTTTTTTTTTTTTTCCCGGTTCAATTTGCTTCTTTTTAACCTCCTAACCTTCTTTTAAGAGAGATTCGACGTACAACCTTCGCTGTTGTGTGCATGATGGATGAGTGGTTCGGGCACAGCCGTACGATGCCTGTCGCTTCATCTCAGGCCGTACTCGCACGCTTACTTTTTTTTTTTTACTGATTTCTGGACGAACTTGCGGCCAGATGCGTACAGGGCCGGCCGTAAATGCGGTCATATACATGTAAGATAATGCTACAGTAGTGTTAGTACGCCCTCAGCCCCCTGCGCTACCCTGATGATGGGCGGTTTGTGCCGTGCAGGCCGAACCGCCGCGAGTCGCTCCATCTTGGCAGCAGTACTTCATGCTGCTCATGGCGGTTCGCTCCATCTTTGCTTTTTTTTTTTTTTTTTTTTTTTTTTTTTTTTTTTATTACACCATCTTTGCTTTGACCATGGCTGGTGCTTTTTTTTTTTTCTTTTTTTTTAACCTTTCCCCAAATGAAAATGCCCTTTTGCAAGCCCTTTATCCCGGTGGTGCTGAGAGAGCCACCAGAATTGAGGTCTTGGCTGAGGGGCTGCCAATCTATTATTGGTGGGAAGCCGCACCTGCTGGAAAGGGGGTCCAGCTTCCCACTGGATAGGTGCTTAAAAAAACACAGTGTTTCCTCCGTCGTACCATCCCTGGCTGTAGCCTTTGCACTACCTATCCCAGAGGCCCATCTTTCCCCTACAGTCTTCCCCCGAATACAACGCACGGTCATTAAAGCTGACTTTAGACTGAAAGATAGACCAAATTCAGCTCTAATGACCGTGCGTTGTATTCGGGGGAAGACTGTGGGGCTGCGGGTGTTGCCCTTCCTACTTCCTCTCCTAGAGCTCTCTTTTGGCACTTTATTGTATTGTAATTGAATGGAGACGACTTCCGCTCGGGGGTGCTATTAGTCCTATGCCGTCTATGTCTTTACTCTTGCGCGGTCTTGTCTCCCACCTTCCTTTTCGTCCTTTGCCGTGTGCATGCATGCATCGTCTATGTTGGCCTCATGATGTCTTGATTCCTATCTACAGCCGTACGACGTCTTTCCCTTGCATCATATCGAAAAAAAAAAAAAAAAAAACTTTCCTTGTTTACCATAAGTACACTGTCGCTCGGATCAGTCCCGCTGCTGCTTTTCGTTGACAGTATATCGATCAGTTCATTTTCGAGTCCAAGAGAAAGAGTTGGCCACTGCTTCTTCTTCTTCTTCTTCTTCTTCTTCTTCTTCTTCTTATTCGTGTCATGGCATGCATGATCTTCCTCGCTTCGCCTTATTTAAAAATAAATAATAATAATAAAAAAAAAATAAGAATAACAATAATAATAATAATAGTAATAGTAATGATAATAATAATATGATAATATGATATATATGATAAACATGATTGGCTGAACTAGAGAATTTGAGTCGAGGAAGATCACGTGGGTTGAAAAATCAAAATCGAAAAAGAATTTGAGTGGGAAGATCCCTTTTTGCTGAAATGATCTTGAAAAGTCTATGGGAAGACAAAAGAAGACAGAGACAGTAGAGACTACTTCGATACCACTGATTATGTCAGTGGTGCTGGTACAACCCAACGTCTGTAACAGCTGAGTCGATGGCAAAGGAGAGAAGGGGGGTGGAGAGTGGAGGAGAGAGCAAGAGAGCAGATATGGGAGGAAGAGGGGAGAGAAAAGAGAGAAGGAGAAGGAGAAAGAGGGAGGCATTCACGACATCAAACACTCAACTCCGTTTTTTTGGTCTTCCGCACTGTCTCCAGGAGCCGCGCGCACGCGTCTTGTCAGCTGCCGGTGACGTGGCGGTAGTGCCAGCTGTCGCACACGCACTTCTTCCGCCTCATCTATGGCCACAAGGCGACGTCTCGACACGTGGCATGCCGCACGACCCCGACCAGACGCTCGTCGAGAAACATCGCAGAAGATTCCTCGCGATCGTGAGCTTGATGGTTCAGCAGTGTGAATTGACCCTCTCCCAACCCTGTCGCTAGCGTCCGCAAGGGCCCACGTGGCATTGCATTTTGGGGTCCACGTGGCATTTCCGTTTGGCGTCCACGTGACGTGGCATTTCGGCACCGTCGCCGTACACGTGGCGACTTGCGCAGACGTGTTCATTTTGCCTGGACACGTCAGCACCGCGCGTCCGCCACGTCAACCCTTCTTTTTTTTTTCTTTTTTTTTTTTTAATGACCGCTCGGCGCTCGCGCGAACTGTTGTGCTTTTTTTGAACAATGCCACATGGCGTTTTCTCATTTGTCCCCCTTGTTTCCGTTGGCCCTTTTCATGGCGCCACGCCGCACAGGCGTGACCCTGCCAATTACACAGTCCAAGGGGGCGCACGAGACACTGCATCACGCACATTTGTCCCCCTCCTGACACGGCCTTTTCAATTTTCAATTTTCAATTTTCAATTTTCAATTTTTATTTATTTATTTTTCGATTTTCAATTTTCGATTTTCAATTTTCAATTTTCGATTTTCAATTTTCAATTTTCAATTTTCAATTTTCAATTTTCAATTTCTCTTTTCGAGAGCCACGGCTTTGAGGCATCATCATCGAAACCGGCCAGCCCGAGGAGTTCACAGTCTTTTTCTTTGGCCATCGCCACACCACTCTCGGAATGTGCAAAATGAGAACGAACTTCCTGCTACAGAATGGCCAGATGCACCCACCACATTTTTGTCTTTTTCACCTTTCGAGAGTGGTGTGGCGAGGCCGTTTGTCATTCCTGAGAGTCCATCAGGATTGGAGGGTACCCGGGGCTGCTGTAGGTCCCACTTGCACGAATTAAGAGATAGGGACCGTAGCTAGCCGAGAGAGATCAACGGCCGAAATCTCCTAATCTGTGCACGTGGGACCTTGCCCCCGGAGGTCTGGGTCCCCCTGACGCCCATCTCCCCTTATCCTTTCTTTTCCTTCGTTTATCTTACCTTTGACACTTCTCTTGAAACGCCCTGTGCGCCAAAAAATACAAACAAGTGGGGGCCTCCCTTAGGCTGGCGGTGCAGACTGTACTCTAACCGGGTAACCAGCCCGGAAATTATACCTGGATGTGGTGGCCCGTGGATAAAACCGTTGGATAAGCAGTTGTGCTGGATGAGAGCCGAGTGTGCCACTATTGCCTGTGTGGCGGATGCCTTGTGTGGTGTTGTGTGTGTGTGTGTGTGTGAGTTGAAGGACACTACAGGCGGATGCCTTGTGTGGTGTTGTGTGTGTGTGTGTGAGTTGAAGGGCACTACAGCCATGCAGGGGTGGGCTGGATAGAAGGAGTGGCATAAATTCACTTTCGTACATTGTGTCATGGCTGTAGTGGTTAAGAGACTCGGCTTTTGAGATTGAAGGCGCCGGTTTGAATCCGTGCGTGCACGGAGGAGGTACTGTGGCTGATAAAGTATGAACTGGCGGCTGCCAGCCATTTTGCTCCTTCGCTCCAGTAGGCCGGACCCCGAACCCGCGGCCACATGCACGCCGGATAAGAGAAAAATGGCTGAAAAACATACAGGTGGTGATGGCACCACCAGCATGTTTCCCAGCCAACTATGCTTGCAGGGAACCCCTCTATATAGCCTTAGGAGAGGTGGCAGGTAGGTAGTGAAAGGCAAAACAAAGAATTTCAGAGAAGAATATAGTGTAGTTGAAAGAAAAAAAAAAAAAAAAAAAACTTTCAGGGCTATGCCTGCCGCCAAAAGGAGGCCAGCGCCAGCGCGTTCTGTTTTGGTGCACAGGGCGTTTCCAGCCACCGAGAGAAAAGTGCCTCGTAAGTACTGCTGGTCAATTTCATTCCACTCACCGTATCGGAGCTGGAATCGAACTCCGGTCTGTATTTCAACAGTCCATGGGTGCACGAACTGAGCCCGTTTGATCATCTGACTCTGACTCGTTGTTAGAGTAGCCGAATCCGAACTCTAACGTTCCAGGGCAGTCATGAGGAATAGATCGGAGCCTTCAAAAAAAAAAAAAAAGGGCAGTCATGAGGAATGACGCGAATGAGCGCTTCCACCGTCCAAGACGCTGAGGTCCCCAAGGAAGCGAGAAAAATCACGCACGGTCGATGCGAATGGGCAACAACGCCACAGAAGTTTCATCGACCTGCCATCCTGGGTGCAACGACGCCACAAAAAAAAGTGTCACAAGCCAGCCTGAGCGCAACAAGGTAGCGAGAGAGCGAGGCGCACACGCGCGCACACACACACACACACACACACACACACACACACACACACACACAGAGAAAGAGAGAGAGAGAGAGCACCGACGCCACACAAGTGTCATCGGCCTGGGCGCAACGACGCCACAAAAGTGTCTTCGGCCTGCCTGGGCGCAACGAGGTAGAGAGAAAGCGAGGCACACACACACACACACACACACACACACACAGAGAGAGAGAGAGAGAGAGAGAGAGAGAGAGAGAGAGAGAGAGAGAGAGAGAGAGAGAG